GGAGTGCATTGCTATATGAAGGAGGGTACACCTTGTTCACACATGAGAATTACAAGCACTAGAATACACTTGATATTCTGCACCATCACAAGTACTATTTTTCATGGCATCTTAGAATATTGTTCAATCTACTGTTGGTGTGCATGATTAACTTAATGTAAGTGTTTGTAGCGAGGGTCTATTTCATTGGTAGTGATATTTTTGCACTTTGTCTTTCACACAGCTCTGATAAGGTTAATTGCAATATTTGTCTCTAGGATTGTGTGCTTGACTCATGGTGTGGCTGTTTCTTCAAAGTTGGGAAAAAAAAAAGAAGCATAGTGACTAGTTTGGGTTCGTAACCTTTTTAACTCAAGTTATTAAACCTGTTGGGGTGTCTTCACACCTAGTGCCCTAAAACCATCTAGTTTAGTAGTCATTGGCCTAACACTTACTACACAGGTTAATTAGAAAGCTTAAGAGACCTAGACATTGCACGGTCACAGAAAAAAAGATGACTAGTCTAGATATGTAACCTTGTTAACGTGAGTTATTCAGCTCGTTGGGGTGTCTCTACACCTAATGCCCTAAAGCCATCTGGTTTGGGAGTCATTGGCCCAACACTCCCTACACAGGTTAACAAGAAAGCTTAAGAAATCTAGACATTGCACATTCATTTCAAAAAAAAAAAAAGGAAAAAACAATAGTCCTTTGAAGGTGGGGTTGTACTATGAGGCTTTGAGAACACTTGATTAGGTATTTTATGGTAATTTATTGAGTGTTGAGCTTCACATTACACACGAGGTGCAAATATTACATTCAATTTGAATGTCTCTTGATGTTTCACATGCTCATATTAATTGATCCATGCATAGCGCTTATATTGAATAATCCATGAGGTGAAGTGAGAAATATTTCATTGATTGGTGTGAGATATTAGAGAGTATAGCTTGAGCAAATGATTTAAATGTTGTGAATGAAGTGTACTATATATTGAATGTTAGTGGGTATCGCTCTGGAAATCCTCACGAGACTAAATTCGTCCGCTTGGAGTAACTTTGTGGTTAAAAGGCTTGTTGCATATGCTAAATGCAATCGTTCATCCCATGAAAGAGGATATAGGTAGTTTTGTTTTCCTCTATTTTTATTTTGTTATGTTTGTCTTATTTTGTTCCCTTGCTCGAGGACTAGCAAGTTGTAAGTTGGGCTATGTGATTGAGGCCGAAATGTGCTACATTGAGGCCGGTAATTAATATTTCTTAACACTTTTCTTCATATAACTTGATACTAGGGGTGGGCATGGGTCAATTGTGGCCACGGAACCTCCAATCCACCATCCATCTGCCAGATTAGCAGATTGGAAAAAAATCAATCTGCATCCGTTTGCCAATCCGACGGATGTGAATATAGCGGATTGGTGGATGGATGCAAATCTGTTTGGTAGTTTTAAATTTTATAAATTTTTAACATAATTCAACTTGTACACTTCCTCAACAAAAAAAAAAAGAGTACTGCAGTCAATGACTTAAAAAACTATTACAATCACTACATGCCTCATCCAAAAAAGAAAGTTTGAAACTTTAGAATATTACAATCACTGCATGCCTCATCCACATATTACAATCACAGCATGCCTCATCCACATATTACAATCACAGCATGCCTCATCCACATAAAGTATTACAATATGTGGTTCTTAAAATCACTACAACAAAACTGACTTTTTACGACATCACATCAACAACATACAATAAATACACGCCATAGTTTCTCACTTTTACGACCTGCTTTTTTGCACGTCGTAAATACTCTTCCAACCACGGCATGTCTGTTGCGTAGGCCGAATGGTAATAACGATGATTTTTTTACGGCTTGCAATGCACAGCGTAAATAATAATACTTTCTACGACGTGCATATGGCATGCCGTTAATACATCAATTATACACGATGTACATACGCCAGCCGTGAAAAGAAAATACTTTTCATGGCATACACAACGTCCGGTACACAACGCCTACCGTTAAAAGTATTACATTTTTTACGATGCACACATCATCTGCTGTTAAAAGTATTGCCTTTTTACGACACACAATGCATGTCGTGAATTGTATGATAAAAAATAAAAAATAAAAAAGTGCCAAAATAAAATTTGGGGCGCCAATCACCAAATATATATATATTTATATATATTATCCTCTAATCAGAATGGAACATCACAAGGGTTTCAATCTCTCTCTCTCTCTCTCTCTCTCTCTCTCTCTCTCTCTCTCACACAATCGCCGCCACTAGTTCTCTGACCGACGCTGCCATTGTTGTTGATTCACTCACTTCTGTAAGTTACTCTCCCTCACCACCATTGCTCTCTCTCACAATTTCCAAACCCTAACTTATTTGAAAATAAGAGTGTTGTCATGACCTGAACCCGCCCCTATGGATTAAGGTCATAACTGGCCAATAATCAAGGGATTACCTACGACCTCAAACCAAATAAACATATATCATCAGAGTTAAAGGGCCAAAAAGAGGCAAACTTAAAAATTGTCCACAGAGCTGTGCTTACATGGCACATCAAAACATCAAACATATGTATTCGTTAATAACTCACACCAAAACGAAAATAACTTAAAGTTTTATACACACAGGATCATTCGAGTCTTAGTCAGCTAACCAAAACTTATATACAAGGGTGATCCAACTTTTTCGCCAACATTACAAAATTATAACATCACAAAAGAACAAAATGAAAAAAATGAGTCTCATGCATGAGACATTTGGATAGACTCCTCAAAACTTGACTGTTTCTCACATACTTCACCGGGGCTAGATTTGGACATCTCTTGGCTCACCTACATACACATGAATAAGAGTGAGCGAACGCCCAGTGAATAATATCAAATAAAGAAGATACATGAATGAAGTTCAAAACAGATATACATAATTAGACGGCCTTGGGCCCATTTATGGTTTTATCTAGTATATTAGACGACTTCAAACCTGAGCATATCAAACGGCCTCTGGCCTATTTCATTCATGTCAAACGGCCTCTAGCCCAATCATTCGTATCAAACGGCCTTTGGCCCAATCATTCATGTCCAACGGCCTTTGGCCCAATCATTCATGTCCAACAGCTTTTGGCCCAATCGTTTAGGTCCAACAGTCTTTGGCCCAATCATTTATGTCAAACGGCCTTTGGCCTAATCATTTATGTCAAACGGCCTTTGGCCCATTCATTAGTATCAAACGGCCTTTGGCCCAATCGTTTATGTCCAACGGCCTTTGGCCCAATCGTTTATGTCAAACGGTCTTTCGCCCATTCGTTCGTATCAAACGACCTTTGGCCCAATCACATGGCATAACAAATATTGCCCACTATTCAAATCAGCAAGCTTATCAAACTTAAATAAGAGTAAACAATTAGACAAATGATATACTTTAAATATCTTTTCTAAGATATTACTCACAGTGATTCGCTGGATAATTTTCCCTTGTGCTTGACCTTACACATTTCATAAACGTAATGGGTCACAAACGATTCAACCCATTCTTAATTCATACGCTCCTCTTAGGTTTCTTTCTTATCATTTTAACTCACTTATAATGTTCAATGCATGCCTAAGAGTGTTTAGAAATAAAAGAGAATGGAAAATGAAACATAAATCAACTTTACAAAATTTCTAAAATAGGGCTCCCCGCTCAAGAGCGCTTTCCGCCACTCAAGCGGACCCCTTTTGTCTGCAAAAGTGCTGGTTACCCCACTTTTAGGCTCGAGCGTGACTTTGGACGCTCGAGCTGAGAGTCGAAACATGTGACTGGGCGCTTAAGCGTGACTCTCCCCGCTCGAGCGGACATCAATGTCTGCAAAAGTTCTGGGAGTTAACATTTTACGCTCAAGCAGAGAATTCCTCGCTCGAGCGGGCTTGACGAATTCTGGGTTTTCCAGAATTCTATTTGAAGTTCAAATCAAAATCCCAAGGGTCCAATTCATGTATAAAACATTCAAATATGCAGGTACACTCCCAAAACATACATCTGAAGATAATTTGCAACCATAGCTCAAAATTCCATGGGTTCAACAACTTTCAAACCATAAATTTTATGTATACACAAATCATGTTTGTATTTAGCATGAACAAGCTTCAAAGCTTGAAATTAAGCTCCAATGCATGGAAATTCTTGCATGCATGTATCAAACAACCCTCAAAACAACATGATCAACATGCTTTACATTTAAACATGCAAAATTATTGTCAATCCTTATATGCATGCATCCAATGATCTCAAATTTATCAAGCTTAGCTTAATTCATGTATTTAACTTTATATACAACTCAAGTTACACTTTTTGATCACAATCAAACTTTGATTCCACAAAATTACTAACTCAAGCTTATGAATTCACTCACCTAGGAGCTCCAATCTTCACAAATTATAGTTAATTCTTGAATTAATCTTCAAGATCACCAAGATCCTTGATAAATTCTCTATCTTGAGCTCCCTTTCTCTCTCTAAATTTGACAGCCTCTCTCTCTCTCTCTAGAGTGTAATCTTAGCCAAGGGGAGGAATGAGCTCAAAAGCAATGCTCAAAAATGTAAATAAGCCATTTATATATATGTTGGCCTAATCAAATGATTAAAACTAAATAATTGAGCCTAATTTAATCGTTCTGTATCTAATGATTTTGATCCGAATAAATTTTCAATTAAATTTCACCATAGGCTCTAAAAATTATGCTAATCACAATGGCGTAATCAATTTCAGTTTCTGTGGCCGATAAGGCCTTCAATTTAAATTCTAAAGCAGAAAATCAAACAGATTTTCCTACGGTGAACAAATAGAAATTTAAAACCATATATATTCATATAAATCGCACCCAAAATCATATTAAACACATAATCACAATCATAATTAAGATCAATTAGCATAATACGAAATAGGGTTATCACAAGTGCCCTGCTATTTTTCTGGAAAAAATTTCGTCGTTTCCTAAACTTTCAAGGAAACCTCTTCTAATTATTTTTTCATTCTTTGATCACTAACAATTTAATAAGAAATGGAAAGGAAACATGATGGGTTAGAGAGAGAGAGAGTCTACCTTCTCTCTAGAAACTACCTCAGTTTCTAGGGTTTGTTCATTCAATATTTCGTTGATGATGGTTGATTACTCATCTAATCTACATGACTTAGATACAATGGGTGATAAACTAGTGATTGAAGGTACTACTACACCTAAGGGGAGTTCGTACATCTTGAAGGATAGTCTTACGGATAGTGATTTGTTAATTTTAATGGACGTCGCGAAGAGAAATGGGGGTAAGAAACATCGTTCTGCATCTAATATCGAGATGAGAAAGAGCCCTAAGGCTTTCAGTAGGGTTGAGTCTAAGATCCCTAGTCCAAGTTTTCTTGTTGACGCTATGGGTGGTCTCTACTCTGAGATTCAAGAGATGAATTTTATTCAGCTCCACTTTAAAACAACAGGTATTTACTTTTCTCTCAAGATTTTTCTAGAGTTGTTATATAACATATATCATGGTATTGCAAAAAAGAGATGTCTAATGGTTTGATAAATTTGAGTGATTGATTAATGCAACAAACTTATAAGGATTTAGATTGATTAATTGTTTAACCCTTTTCTTTGGTTTGCTTCAGATGGTTTTGTGGGTCTTGTTGGCTATTGGGCATAGTTTATGGGTTTTGTTGACTTTGGTTGTGTATATATGTAGATGAATTGTGTTAATTTTTTGTTTGTACATTCTGGAATATATACCCCATTTTGAGGTATTGTATTCAAGACATGATATTTTGTGGTGCTAATATTATTTTGGTAGTCTTGATTTTGGTCGGGCATAGAGAATTAAAAGAATCTCACATTAGAAATTATAAAATTATTTGTATTTTCTCTGAATCTCAGGAAAGGTGAGTATAGCTACCGAAAAAAATTTGTGTTTGCAAAGGAGAACAAGTTGAAAGGAGGAAAGTCTAAATCTCTGAATAGTTAAAAGAAAATTGTAAACTAGTGAAAAAATGAGAAGGCTTATCAAGTTGTGTTTAAATGGTGCTTGGAAAGGTGGATCTGCATATAAACCTTTATTGACTTTATTTAGCATCTTGGTACTACTAATGGAGGTTGGCAGATACAGTTGGGAAAAGGGAAAGTGAAGCTCTTTCTTCATTATTTATGTGTATGTGTGTTGGGAAAGTGAGGCTTATCAAATTGTGAATGTAACTTTTTCGTTTTTGTTTGTTTTTCGTTTTAAACAGAATTTTTGTAGATGGTGGTGCGTAAATCCAAATGTAATGATATAAAAACAAATATTAGCTTACTACTTTTTGTCCTTAAAATATATGATTTGGCAGAAATTTAAAGATTGACTAAGAAAGAATACACAACTTTAGAGTTGTTCATAACTGCTTTATGTTTTGTCTACAAAATTTTCTTAGATTTAACGTTTAGTGGTGTTTTTTTGTTTACATGTATTTCTTTAGTGTTCAAAAACTTGAAAACAAGTCATGATTCTATGGTGGTTCTATCTTATTCACAAAATGCCAATTGCATAAAATGATTTTTGGTTCATTATTAAAGGGGTAAGAAGTTTGTAGATACAAGAGTGGGGTTTTTGTTTGATTAAATAGTGAAGCTTGTCTGTTTTTGCTAGCAGTGGATAAGGATGCATAATTTATTTATTGTGAAATAGAGGCTTTTACCTTTCTGATTCTTCTTTGTTCCATTTGTTCATCTTTATGTATGGTGCCTTGCCAACTGGGATTATTTGTTAGTGTAAAACTGGTTATAAAATTTTAGCGGGTATATAAATGCAGCCACAAACCGCCATTTAAGAGAAACCCTACAACATCTCTCTCTCTCTCTCTCTCTCTCTCTCTCTCTCTCTCTCTGTGTGTGTGTGTGTGTATGTGTGCGTGTGTGTGTGTGTGTGTGTGACCCTTTTCTTCTCCTTCAAGACATACCATACCTTTCTCTATAGGTATATCATCAATCAAATCAATAAATCATTTATTAGTCTGTGAAATTCTTACAGTTGGTACAGTAGAGTTCCATAATCCCATTCATGGCTATTCTCTAGAGCTAGAGCTGAGCTCCTCTGTTATTTGTGTGTCTTGTGAAGAAAATCCATGGTGGGTTTTAGAAGTTCAGCTTCTGTTTTGTTAATGGTCTTTTTTTCTTCTTTTTTTTCATTCTCTTCTCCTAGTGTCAATGTAGAATGAATTGAAGATTGGATTGGATGAATGATTTTCATTACATTGTTGGGTTGATGCTGGTTTAGGTGTTCGAGGTAATGAAAAAGCAAGAGGAGATGAGGCTAACAGAATTGACTACAAAAGGGGCAGAATTTAAAGCTATGTAAGCTAAAGCTGAAACTGTATGATTGCCATTTCTCTATCAATTTTTTATTGAGTTCTCTGTGTTCTGGTAATTCATAGTGCCCCGTGAAAAATAAAATCAAAAGGGAAGTAACTTGATCTGCCTTAGTTTCATGTAATTGTGAAACTAATAAGCTGACTCCTTTACATTGGTTCTGTTGGGTCTAAATTTAATCCATGCACCATACCAGCTTGGGTTACTTAGGGATATTTAGAGGAGAGGAGATTGATGAATCAATCCCATTTGGCAATCCTCAAAAGCATAGACATTACAAAGAGAGTAGTAGCCAGAATGGTTGGTTGCACCTCTGTAGCTAACCAAATTAGGCTTTCCAACAGCTCAAACATTACCCAATTGACTAAAAACTAGCTCAGAAGAAACAAACTTAGCTATCACTCTCAGGAGCTCTAGAGTCCACAAGGCAAAGATATTTTTGATGAGTTAAAAAAAAGGATATTTTTCTCTTTTTTTGGTTCTTTTCAAGATATGGAAATTTGTTTTTTTGAACCACATGCAAATTAAAGGCTGGTAACCACGGATGTGAGTAAAATTATTTTGATACGTAACAATGAATTACCTTTGCTTAAAGGCAGTTCTAAAAAAAATATATATATATTATGTTGGGATGTTGGAATATACTTCAAAGTCAAAGGGAAATTAGCATTACTTGAAAAAAAAAAAAATATTTGTGGTACGCATTTCTAGATAGGGAACTTTATGGTTATGATTTCTAATATGGAGTTTTTTTTTTTTCTACTGAATTATTTTTCTATTTTGGAATAATTTTTGCATTCGTAGGTGTACTAAGTAGGATACTCTAAATGACATAGACAAGTACTTCAATTATTTGTCTTTTTTATTACTTTAGTTTTTCATGAGAGAGAAAATTAATGTGGGAGTCTCTTTAGTTTGTTGTTTTGCGGTAATCTAAAGTGACATTGCTGATAGGATATGAGTCCAAATGGCAGTTTGGGTGATTTCGAGGATAGGTAATGGTTATTTCACAATTAATAGTTTTTGTTTTTGCACGAAAATGGGATGCAATTTTAGCAACATGAGTGTTTTTTTTTTTTTCTTTTCATTGACAAGCTGTAGAGAAGCAAGAGCTAGGAAGAACGAGTACATGATCTTTGATGGTGATAGTTATTGTGTGGGATGAGTACATTGAGTAAGCATTTTAGTACAATTCTGGGCCACTTAATTTAGTTATAGAATTTGATGCTATTCACATTATGAACATTTGGTGATTTCATGAATTTCAAACCAAATTGACTATAATTTTAAGCATTAGCATTGTTTAGAATGCCTAAATTCGCCTTAATTTTTATTTTATTTAATAAGTTCTTGTGGGAGTAGAAATGTAGTTGTGGGCTACTTAATACAAAGTTTATAATGTCCTCTATCCATCTGAGCTTTAACTCAGTACAAAGACTTTAAAGTGGAAAATTATGAAGCATGTTAAAATAACAATATCTTAAACCTTGAATCAAATATAACAAGCGTCCTAGTAGTACTATCCTTGCAAAAAACTAATCAACACCAAAACAAAAGAGTACTGCTAGCAGGCCCCCTATGCATCAGAGTAGTCATAACCCAAAGAAAAACAGAGCCAACCCCCCTAGTCTTCATCTTATTTTGATGCATCTTCTAATCAAGCTAATCAGGCTCCACAAACCCAACAATCTATACCTTTAAAACCCTTAGATTCTCATCAATATCATATGGTTTGAAGGGCAATCCATCAATAATAGCATGTTATTGAAAGCCTTAGACATGCAAGGGAATGGTTTTTCACAAAACAATAGATATGTTATATATTCTTATATATATAATGTTTGTGTGTGCTGTCAAATGGTCGTACTAAATTTATTACTATTACTATTAATATTTGTGCTATTGCATTAGATAAGAATTAAAATTTAGTTTTAGTGTGTTGTTTTTGGTTATGTTTGAAATAGAAACAAAGGGGATGCATCGAACTTGATAAATAACACAGTACAAGCACGACATAATTCCCACTCCTAAATAAAATGAATTGAACTTGATGCTTTCTTTGAATCACGATGCATGTTTGTGGATATGTGCCTATGTTGCCATGGATATTTGAGCATTTATTTTATTTGTTCAGACATGCTTGAAAATTTTCAGGCTTTGACTGTAATCTTATTTTATATAATTTCTATCCCTTAATATGCAGCCATGCTTCTCTCAAAGAAAAGGCACTGGGATTGTAAATGATGATTTTTTCAAAGACTTCAACATGGATGATATTGACTTGAGTTTGGAGAACTTTGAACAACTCTTTAGAACTGGTAACTTGTTTGAAAGTGGGGATGCGCATGATGCTGATATCAAGACACACTGTGCATTTGCTTCTGAGGTTCTCCCTCTAATTGATTCTTTTATTGTAGTCCATCTCATGTTTTTGTCTTCTCTATTTTGGTTAACTTATTTAGTTTCATTTTTACTTACTGTTTAGTTTGCTTTCATGAGTTGGTGTCAAAGTGTGGAGTGTTTTTTTTTTTTTTTTGGGTAAAAAAGCGTGGAGTCTTTACTATACTTCAAATGGAATTTAGAAAATTTATGTTACATTAATGATCTGATCTGCATTAATAATCTGACTGAGTCACTGCGAAATTGCATAGAGAAGTTGGTTAATCCCAAATTCTAGATCACAAAGTGATTGAAGTTTGTAATGATGGTGATGGTGTATTTTGGGAAATTTGACTTCTGCTGTAATAGTAGTTGAATGGGAATCTAAAATGCAGTAAATTCCAGTTTTTAATTTCTTTCACCATTTGGTGTCTTATATTCATACTAAGTGGATGAGAAATCTATTTAGAGACAGAATTGTTACTTTAAAGAGATGAGTCATGTACTCATTGAAGAAAAAAAAAAACAAAAAGAGAGCAGAGTCATGTGGCAACTTTGTGAAAGGTTCACTGGGATTTGTCACCAATAACACTTAGAAAGCATTTTCTCATGAAAATGTGGTTAAGGATTCCAGATCTAAAAATGTGGTTCATAACAATTTTGTCGAACATGTGATGTGCAAATAAATATGACAGTAAATATTGAGAGAGAAATTGAGATATAGAATAAACAAAAGAAACAATAAAAGAGAAGAACCAGAGAAGAAGGGGTAGACAAGAAGTGGAGATGCATTGGAAGCAGAGAGGAAAGAATATAAAAAGTTTAGGTACAAGTTGATTCCAGAATTTAGCTGATGAAATGTTGTTATCGTATATTATTCCTATAGTTCCTTATCTTATGTATTTGCTACTAAGTACTCAGGTAGAATTACATCACATTATCCCAAAAAGCGCCTAAAACTACTAAAACTTTCCTAAATTTCTTCTATAATGGATTGAAAGTTTCTTTTTAAACTTGTAAATAATATAGACTCTAATTTGACTTGGACTCTTTATTTTAGAACTTACAATGGTAATGGATAAAACCTATACAAACCTAAACCTCATACATAGAGATCCTTTAACATAATTATGCGAGTCCCAAGTAGGTGCTGCATTGGAGTAGATTAATTCCACCTCTTCCGCTTTTTAAATTTAATTTTTCTCTTGAGCTTCTTATGGCCTAGATTTAGTAACAAACTATATTTTCCTCTACAAACTTAATGGTTTATTGGAAGATTCCTACTCATTTTCCTCTAGAAACATTGCAACAAAAGAGGTAACTTCATTAGAGGTAACTTCATTTGACGTATGAAAAAAGAGGTTTTGCTTTATATGGATTTTATTTGCATATACATTGAGACTATTGAGATCTTAAATTTTTGCTAATTTTTCATTATGACATTGCTTTTATAGGGCCATTGAATTATCTTATTCATTTTGAAAATATTTTGTTTATGTTTTAAAATTTCTTGATCATTTCTTAATACCTTAAGAAATATTTGTGTCCCTGAGTTGTTGGTTTTTGTACTTATATGAAGTTTCCTTTGTCATGCAGATAAGAAATGCAACAAGGTTAGTAGCTCCAGCTATTGCTGCGGGTTTAGGTGCCTTAACACATACATTAGGCACCCTCATCCCTGTGATAGGAGCAAGTGGATTTGCCACAGCTGCAGCTGGAATTGCTATAAGAACTGTTGTCGGTAGTTTTAAATAATCTCTTAATAGCTGTCGATATGTTTATAAAGTTAGATATGCATAGTTTTGGATGGTTTAAACTATTTGTACAGTTTAGAACTTAAGGATATAGTTTTCGAATGTTTGAAATGTATAGATGTAGACACCCCATTTTTTACCGACCTTGAGACTCAGACGTCACCAGTTGAGCACTTGGTGATATTGCATAATGTGCTCGTTCAGAAGTTTCAGAGTCTTGGCCATGAGCCCTGCCTCCGGGTTTCCGAACCCTCTTCTGCGCCATACCTCGGTTTGCGAACCAGGCTCGATTTTCTCTGTTTCTTTTCCTGAGGGGAGGGAGAGGTCCCATAGACCATCTCTCAGTGGCCGTGGGCTACATTTTGTGGCCGCAGGCCATTTTGCCCATTTCGGAGTCCGGTTTCCGGTTTTTCGGGACCGTTGGCCGTGTGCCTCGGTTCGGGACCGCCTAACCATCTCCGTTTGTTCTGATTTTTGGCATACATCTTATTTACTCCCTTTTGAGGGACACTGGGGTCTGAGAAACACACTTCGTGGCCGACTGCCACTTTCGGTGCTTAACAGCCCATTTTCGGGATCCCGAACTGCGCGTTTTGGCCCCCAAACATTCGTTTTGCGACGGTTTTCGTTCATTTTTGGCAGGTGCCTCTGTTTCATCACCAGAAAGGTCACTGAAGGGTGGGAGGCCAGTAATTGTTGCAGCAACCAGTTATATATCCTCCGACGCCCTCCGACGCCCGTTTTTTCACACTTCCGGGCTAATGTTGAACAACCTGGGCCCTTTTTCTTGAATTTTGAACCATAAGGTTGTGTTGTACACACATGGGAGGATCCTTAAAATTTGTTGGCCGGCCATTAATTCCACTTGAACCTTTTGAACCCCTCCTCAAATTGGCTTGTTCTCTCTCCTGTTTTAGAGTTTCCAAATTCGAACCACAGGGTTGTGAAGAGGAGACCTGAGAGGCCACCAATATGTGGTGGCCGGCCACTATTTCTACTTGGCCTTTTTGACCCCTAGCCGACCGGCTAAGGGGGGTGGCCGGCCGGCCACTTCCAAGTCCAATAATGGGCCGGCCATGTTCCTTGTGTGATACACTTTACAACTGTGTAGCCTTTTCCCCCAGAAAAGATCTGTATCCGGGGGATATTTTTGTGGAGGAAAGGCTTGGTCCTTTTCCCCCACCCTTTCCTTCCATACTCCCCCTCCTTTTGGTCCATATAACCAGCAGGTGGCATTGGTGAGAGGGGTTGGAAAAATTCATCTTCAAACTTGCATACAAAAATCTCTCTCTATCCCTCTCTTTCAAGCAAGAAACTCCAAGCCCTACACCACCATTTCTTCTACAACACCAAGCTCCACCACCACCACTCCATTTCCAGCAGCAAGGAGGTGTTCTCCAAGGCCTAAGGGAACCACAAACTCAAGCCAAGAGGCAACCAAAGTCAAGCCTTCAAGGGTAAGTAGTGTTCTTCCTTTTTTGAACTTATTTTGGTATCTTTCCTTAGCCATACATGCTTATTGATTTGAGCTCCGACCAAAACTGAAAAGGCCATTTTTTTGAGCTCATTTTCTTGTTTCATTAAAGGCTCAACCCTGTTTGAGCCCCCCATCTTGCACTTGCTTCAATATCCACCTTGAATGCCATTTTCTTGCATGCTTTGGCAGCCTATCATGCTTCTGTTTTTGGTCTTTTTACAGGCCTAGAAATAGTCTTATTTTGACCTTCTTAACATGTTTTATTAAGGGTCTTTGGCTGTTTGGTGAATGCTTTGCATACTTTGTGTTATAGCCACCTTTTGAGCCTCATTTTGCATTGCATTTTTAGCATGTTTGTATACTATTTTGGAGTTTTTACAGTTCTGTAAATATGCTTATTTTTTGTCTCTCTTCAATGTTGTGGAAGGGGATTTTTCAGTTTGGGCTGTGAATATACCACTTGCCTCTTTGGCCACCTTTTGGCCCTTTTTCTTGCATGGGAGTGCAGCCACACCTGTGTTTGTTTTTGGGGTTTTTACAGTTCTGGAAAACATCATATTTTGGGCCCCTCTTCAACTTTGTTGAAGGGCCCTAACCTGTTTGAGGACAAAAGATGTGAGTTGCTTCTTAATCTCATGTTTAGGGCCATTTCTTGCATGCTAGTTTTGCCCTGTCTTGGTTTGCTGTTTGGCCATGCTATAAACTGGAAAAGTGCATATTTAGGGGCTGCCTTGCTTCTGTCTATTCATTTCATGTGCCAATTTTGTATGTTTGGTATAGCTATAGGCCATTTCGGGTGCCAAAATTCATATTTCGGGACTATTCCCTGCATCGGGTGTGTTTTCGCCTCATTTCGGGGCTGTTTTCCCCCACTTTTCATTGCTGAAAATCCATTAGCATGTTTGCATATCAATTTTAGCCATTTGCATTGCATATGCCATTGCCTCGGTTTGCGTCCCGTGTGCACGCATTTCGAGGCACTTCATTTTCATCCATCGGCCTCTTATGTGAGTGTGGCTGAGGCTCTCTCATGTTAGTATAAGTCCATGTTGCATTTCGAGGCACTTCATTTTCATCCATCATGCCTCGATATGCGTGATTGGTGGCACGAGGATCGAGGCATGCATATATCTGTGAAAATACATTGCCATGCCCCTTTCCTGCTCTCTGTTGCAGCAAAATGAAGGATCAGCAACTTTTTGCAGTTTGGCGCGTATTTCAAGAAAAGGTGTAAACAGAGGCTAATTGGGGCATCCCAGTGGATTTCCGCGAAGGCAGCCCAGACATGCATCATTCATCAGGAGCAAGGCAGTCCCTGGCTTGCATGCCAGTTTATTTATTTTCTTAGTTAATTTGTTAATTAATTAGGAATTTGTACATATTTGGACTGTAATATTTGGACTGTAATATTCTTTCATTCGGGACTGTATATTTATTCGGACCCTCTGCGCGAGGGCATAACTGTAATAAGTGTGCGTGTGTGTGTTGTATGTCTTCCAACCCCACGTCTTTCTCCCTTTTATTTATCCGCTTGTGATGGTTAGATTAGGGCATATTTTAATTAGCATACAGTATGATAGCATGTTTGCATTCATTCATCTGTTTTGCATGCACCGGGCTCGGCGCATCATACTAACTGCATTGTATTTTCAATTCCAAATTGAATACATGTTAGCTATAGCATTCCATATGCCATGTTTAGAATAGCCGAGCCTACTATAGTTGCATTTTGCATGTGTTGCATTAGGCATTTCTGTATACTTAGGATCATGCATGATTTCTAATGTAAATTCTGTTTTGGCTTGGAGTACCCGGTGAGTTTTATGCTTTAGCATCCCTGCATGCGTGTGAGGGACTGCCATGAATAGCATGCTTACCATGAGGCTAATTGCTAATGTGATATAACTGCCTGAATGCCTGTGGGTGAAGGTTGGGTTACTTGGATTGGAATAAATCATTGACTGTGAGTTTTAAGCCCACTAGATAGTGGCAAAACCATCTTTTCTAAGCCCACCTGAGGGTGGCAAAATCTGCATTTTAAGCCTACTTGCGAGTAGCAAACCATCTTTCAAAAAACGAACATGAAATGTTTTGTTCCAATTCAGGCGATCCAATCTATACTTGTATGCTGTGCGCATCACATAGTAACCTAGGCTAATAACCGGAATAAGAACACACAAAGTTTTCAAAAATAGATATCATGGTTAGTAGAGGCCGATCTTTGATCGGGCGAGCGGGGGTGCTCACGAAGTGACCTTCCCCAATCGTACCCAAGTTCCCGAGCCGAGGCAACTTTGGTGGTGACGGACACGTGGCCTTTAGCACCGAGTCAGGGTTTCCTAAATTTCCCAAAATAAAATATTTAGGTGGCGACTCTGTATCTGGCAAAGTAGTCCATGTTTGGCACTTCTTTCAAAAATCTATTTTTTTCTCAAAACGATTTGCCGGATTTGGACTCTTTGGTTCAGACTTAGAACCGTGACAATTTGAGAGTCCTGAGCTGTAGTGACCCCAAAATGAACAGAACGGGAGCTCGTTCCTCCCGGGGCGTTCGGGGACGTCTACAATAGACAATTGTTGATTGTTTATAATTTATGGATATAGTTTCTTTTTGATGTTTCAAACAATATTTTACTAGTTGATTGATGTTTTGTGATGCTTGTTTGTAATATTTGTTAGATTGTACAAAATTGATCAAATAGAACCAACTGAATTTATAAAATAAAATGAAAAAAAATGAAATATTCTACAGCAGGCATAATAAGTCATTGTATTACATATTTTACGGCGCGCAATTAGCATCATTATTTGTCTCACCAATTAACAGCATGCACAAGTAGTCGTAGAAAAAGTAACAATGACGCACAAAATCTGCCATTAAATTGTTTTTTACAGTGTACTATAGCATGTCGTAGAAAAAGTGACAATGACGCACAAAATCTTCCATTAAATAGTTTTTAACGACATATGAAGCATGTCGTCGAAAGTGAATGACTTTCCATGACTGGTCATAATATGACGCGTGCTGCACGTTGTAGGCGGGTTTTTACATCGTGCATTGTGCGTCGTAAAAATCCTTTTTTGTTGTAGTGAATATAAAAACAATCAAAATCACCAAAACCATGAACAAAGCAGTAATAGAGATTGTACGCCTCTGTATTGTTACATCCATATCTGTTTTAGAAAACAAAAACCAACTAGCATATATTATCCTTTTTATTTATTATTTTTAGAGTTAGATTTAAAAACCAAAAAATATAGATAAATAATACATTTATTTTTTTCAATTCAAAAAATATATTCAAGTTGAAAACTCTTTTTCAACAGAATACATTCAACAAAATATTTAAACTTTTTTTTCAATTGAAAACACAAACAGAATATCTAAACAAATTGAAAACATAAAGTCTTACAAATTATCAGGGATGCTCGCGGTTTGGTGGTTCGATTGTGGCCGAATGAACCTCAAATCCGCCATCCGTCCAAAACTAGGTGGATTGGAAAAATTCAATCTGCAATCGTCTGCTCGTCATCACGCATTCATCCAAAATGCAGTGGATCGGTTCGGTTCAGTCGATTTGGGCAGATCGATATATCCGTTGTTCACCCCTACTTGATACAGTTTACAAGTGTTTG